ATAGCATCAAGACTATCACCTTTAAATACATGCACTTGCCTTTAATCCCGAAAAAAAAAAAATCAGAGATAGACAATACAAACTGAAGAAAGACACAGCATAGATTTTGAGTATATTTACAGCCCAAAACATACATTTCAGTATTGTCAGGTGGCAAAAATGGCTGAAAGTGCACATTACAATTAAAACATTAAATCGCTAAAACTCTTTATTTTAACTGGCAAACAATTCCCAAAACACAAGGCAATATTGTGGACAAAAAACACAGGCAAAGGTCCGGCGAAGCGCAAACGGACTAGGGTGGACACGAGCAAAAATTAACCAGGAAACAAAATGAGAATAAAGAACCATATGTACAATCACAATAATAAGACTTGGCACATCAGAAGAATACTCTACACTGAGCAATGCTGTGTACAAGTTTGGAGTGTGTATATAGCCTATAGGGTGTGAAGGTGTTTGAGTCCAGGTGTGTGTGATCAGTAAGATCATGACTGTGAATGGGACAGAGTTTGCGTGTTGGGCGTTGTAGTCCATGGTGGCCGCTTCATATTCTGCAAGTTGTAATGAGGTGCTGACATGACAAGCATGATATATTTTGGTTACAGCAAACTGTCTGACAATGGTGGTGGACGTAATACTGTTCCTGTTCCTCGCTTGAGCCAATATTGCATATGAAAATAGCACTTAAGTCAGTAGTTATGTCTGAGGTCTGAATACACATGCATAAGTTAACTCTGATTATGGCCCTACAATATATCTTCTCATTGTTTTTGTGTGTTTTAATTCTCAATGCGGTAAAAAATGTAAAAAAAAAAAAAATGTACATATCAAATATGTTGAGCATTTGTGTTCAATAAGTGTCAGCTAAAAAGCTGACCTTGCACTGATGCCCTGTACATTGGTCATTTCATAACATTATAAAATAACACCAAGCTGTGGTCAAAAATAAGATTTAATGCTCAAACGGCCACTTTCAGGCCACGCTTAGCCTCGGGTCTCACAGGGTTAATCGAAGCTCACGTCTGTTAAAGCTATCTCAAGCACATAGGTTTCTCCTGCCAGTGAAATATATGAACAAAGCCAGCAACTGCAATTCCCACTTACACCTCCAACCTTGCATTCCTCATCTCTCATTTCATCCATCAATCCATCCTTCCATCCATCTGTCCATCCATTTCCTCCAAAGTAATCAGGAACGATCTCCCTGTAGAGGCTTTTGAAAGGAGTGAGTGATGCTGGGTTTGATTGAAGCTAAATGCAGGGTTGGTTTGGAGAGCTTAGTGCCTGCGCTATGTCATGTACCTGTCTGTGTTGTTATGCGATTTTTTTTTTTATATAACTATAGCTCTTTTATAACAAAAGAGATTTATTGTGGCCTCCTAAAGTCCACCTTTTGCCAAGACTCATACAAAAATCCCAGTTGTAGGATTAAGTACATGCACATGCTGAGTTATTTATACAAGAAGAATTAAATCTCTATAGGTAGCTTATAAATGTGTGTGGACCTTCTATATGTCAACCATCACCTCCTGTGAGAGTAAATCTCACAGGAGTAAATGACTACGTTCAATGCAAAGATTTTTACAAATGAATTCATTCCGACTGCAGATTCCCAACAAACTATTTATATGTATTCTACACTCTGTAGTTAATCTCTGTTTATAGTCGTGTCATATGTAATCCAATCCTAAACTGTGCATGCGTGGAATGATATGTAGTGTCAGTGTTGCATTAACGATTTTTTTGTGAAAAAAGGTTTAGTGCATTGAAATGTTTACCGATGTACAATGGATGGAAACAGGCAGGAGACAGCAAATTTCACAACCTTTCATTTTACTCACTTTCACTTGATTGATAAGGAAAACGCAAACAATGGATGGAAACTTGGCTAATGAGAAGCTTGTGAGTTTGGTCAGTGTGTTCTACATTTTTAATCACACTGCTTTTACTTCCATCACAGCAGAACATCATCAGTGTGTGATTTTTAAATAGACAGCTGTTGCTATTGCTGAGTATTTCGTATTTGCTGAACATTCTATAACAAGGATGCTTTTTGAAAATAACATAAAATGCACACATTACCTATTGGTATAATGCCTTCACTCGTCTTCTAATGTTATATCAATATTATAAGTTATTGTTTAGGAATAACTGCACAGCAAATAATGTTTTTCCACCATTTTTCATGGGCTGGTGAATATTAAACATTAAATATGGATGTAACTGAATATGTAAACATTATCTGGAATGAGCAGATAATGTGTTCTAAACAGATGCAAAAACAGATATGAACAGATATGAAGCTCACGGGAAAGCAAGATCACATTCATTAATATGAACAATGAATCTATAGAAGTGCATTTACAGCACTCATTCATTCATCCTTAGTAACTGCCCGGTCAGGGTTGCAGTGGTTTACGTTAAGCCACTAGTTTGTTTATATTTTGTAAAATAGAACCAAATATTTATTTATTTGTGACTGGTTATTTAACAGGTCATGTCAGGTGACCTTTGCCCTTTGGTTTTAACCCTGGATTTAATCCTAAACTGGGCCAGACAAGATCTTCAAGACCTCACCCCTCACCTTCACCTTAACCCTAAAGTGTGTGCGCATTTAACCACAAAAATACAAACTCACATGTGGGCAATGCATATGAGAATCTGACTGATGTTACACAAGAATTTATATATTACACTGACACACATGTACTCCATACACACACACACACACCACATCAATAATAACCATCAAAGGCTAATCAGAAACCTGATCTTTACCCTAATCAGAGATAAAGGTGTGTACGCTTTCAAGATTGTGATATCATGACTTCACTTGATAGAGAAAGAGAAATCTGCTTTTCTTCTTAGTCTGTTTTTCAAGGGTCTGTTGTGCGTCATCCTGCCAGACGTGTGTGTGTGTTCTGAAACCCCAGACTTTTGAAAACCTCAAATTAATGAAGGTATTGTTTTATCTGTAAACTTACCAACATCAACTTACTCAATCTATAAAGAGAACCAATTTGAAATAAAGCTCATTAACTCCTGAACAAATACCAATTACAAAATCTGCATCGCACATGCACTGGCAGCATCCGCCATGATGAAAAGAGCATGTGTCCATTACCTCAACAGTAAGCCTAGCCCAGTGGACATGTGTTATAATCATGAAGTTGTTTCACCAGTTCTCAAAAGACTGAGCCATTCAAAGGGGATGACTAAAAACCTTCACAGATATTAAGCTAAAGCTTTGAAGAGCCTTTCTTTAGAGGGAAATTTCTTTCTGGTGTCAGAATCTTTTAATAAATTTTATATATGCGGCAGCCGGGGAACACTTTCACATGGTCAAACATAGATTTTTTTGTAATATATATATATACACTATATATATACACTATATATATATATATATATATATATATATGTATAGTGTTTCCTCCCACTGTCCAAAAAACTTGCAGGTAGGTGGACTGGCTATGCTTACTTGTCCCTAGGTGTGAATGATGAAGAGGTGGTCTGGCTCCTTTGCTTGTTTAAGAATGAAGAGGTGGTCTGGCTCTTTTTTTTCTTTAATAATTCTTTGAATGCTTTATTTTTGATGCTGTTGTCTGAATATGTTCAAAATTGTGACACGTAAAACTTTATCCACAGCAAAATCTTCACACTGGTAGCAAACTAGCTTTTGTCTACCCGGTGCTATTCATCATACACACATTTTTGCTGTTAAAATGGCAAACACAAAGGTGAGTATACAAACAAATGCAAATACAGTCCAAACACAGAAATAGGATTCGGTCCCATGTAATTTGCAAAGTAGACACTCAAAGTAAGCATCAGATTTAATAAAATAATCATCAGGGTTTAAGAAAGATATGCTGTAATAGTGCAAAATAATGTAAAGACATAATAAGCGATTGCTACAGAATGTTATTAGAATGCTGCTAACACAAACAGAGTTAGCAAAAAGAAAAAAAAAAACTAACATAATCGAAACATTTGTATTAACTTTACTACAACTTTGCCAAAATGTTGTAGACAAAAGTAGAAATGTTACGTTAAAAGATACCTAGAAAATTTCCCCAAATATTCCTGAGTTTGTTTAGAAAAAGATCTTTTCAAACTTTTTTTGTTTTTAGCTTTTTTTGCTAAGTGACTTGCACATGATGGAGTCACAGAATGTTAGCTACAATGCAATGCTACTAGCTTAACTACATTTTTAATATAGTGGCAGTAGCTGAGATATTTTTCAAAATAATGTAGCGTTTCCAGTAATAGCTCATTATCTTTTTTTTTTTGTTGCTGTTGATTACCCAGCTGGTTAAGTGTTAAGTATTTTCTGTTAAATGAATACAATAAACCAGTGAATCATCAAATTAGATAACCATTTCACCTGAGCTTGTCAGCTGACCTCAGGTATTTAGCCTAATAGCTAGCTAATCAGCCAATATAATATAACAAGCAATGATGACAAGCATTATTATGCATATTGCAGCAAACACCTAAAAGTAGCTGTTTAATTCAGTGTTTCACAGATTAACATTTCCCTATTAATGTTAACTAGCTGCTGAACGATCTCTATTTTTGTTACTTTTTAATGATGTTTTTGTACAAGTAAATTAGCTATGCAAAAAAAGGAAATATCAGAGTTTCCTCATTTTGGCAAAGTAGCTTCTGCATAGTTAGCTCATTTTTTCTTAGTAGCTTGAAGTGTAGCTAGTTTTTCTAGGTAGCCTGAAGTGTTTCATAACATGAAGTGTAGCTAGCTGCTTTAACAAAAGGGTGGTTTGGCTGTAGTTTAGCTATTTTAAATCATCGGAAGCTTGTAGCCATATGTTGTTGTTCTTCTTTCGGCTGCTCCCCTTAGGGGTTGCCACAGCAGATTACTGGTCCGCATATTTGATTTGGCACAGTTTTTATGTCAGATGCCCTTCCTGATGCAACCCTTCCCAATTTTTATCGGGCATGGGACCGGCACTGGGAGTGCACTGTCGTGGGGTTGGTTCTCTGACTGGGAATCGAACCCGGGTTGCAGAGGTGAGGGCGCCGTGGCCTAACCACTAGTCCTCCAGGGACCCAGAAACCATGTACTATGTATAGGACTGACCATTCAGTCATACATAAAAAAAATTCAATTGTAATAATGTTCCCATTCTACTTCAGAAGAGTTAAAAAGTGCAGTAAATGGTAGACAGAAACACAAAAACATAACTGTTCTTGGTAACTTCAGTCATGGACCAAGTCATGAACCAGTCATGGACCAAGAATGAGTCCTAGTCTAGTGTGTTTACAAAGCATTTGTACTACAGTATGACATGCCTGTAGCCCACTGCATACATCTATAGTATGTGACTCTATTTACAACAGGGTGAAGCTGCCATGGTGAATCTGTTTCTCATTGATCATGCAGTTTCCTACTTTTTTCACGCACTCCTTATCCTTATCCTTACCCTTGGGCACTTTTTGGAAGAAAGCCACACCCATGATAAAATCATTTACATCCTTTCCTCATATTTTACAACATAGAAGGCATTTCATTACATCCATACACTCTTAGATAAAAAGGGTCCATTGGGTTCTTAACTTCATATACACTCTCTTAAAAGAGAAACCCTCTATTGTAGGGTTCTTTAAGGGTTCCCCAAGAAAGACAAACTCAATGAAGGTGCTAGACAGAATGGAAGACTGAGGCTTAAACACCATTTTCGGAACAAAAAGTGGAATGAACATTAAATCACATAGGTACAGATGGAAAGTACCTACAACTCATACTGTATCACCAACATGGGTTCTAAAGCCCGAATCAGAAAATAAAGACTTGATAGGATCCCATTTAATCTCAGATAAACAAAATGGCTTTATAATGTGGCATTAAATTGAGCTATGTTGGTATATTGAACTCTAATCAATAAGTTAGGAATAATTTAGGAGGAAAAAGGCTTAAATGGTTGCATCTGGAGTCCCCTTTATGAACCCTCGATTCTATATATATAAACATATAAAAGAGCTTGTATAAAACAAGAGTGGCAGTCGAAGTAAACAAACTATTACCCAGTTCAGTTTTTGATTAAATCCACCCAAAGCATTATTGCATCGCTTCCTCTCGTAGATCGGGTGGAAAAAGCACCAAATGAAAGACTCGTACTGAGGGTGGTCTTATTTTAAAAGGACAGCTGAAGTGGATTATGAAAGCACGGCTCCAAACCTGGTGCTAACAAACTTCACACACCCCTATGTGACGCTGAGATGTGTGTTACTGGGCAACGTAAGAAATGAAACACTTCCCACTACAGAGAAAAACTGTATGGCCAGTACCCTGGCTAATGTTACAGCTCAATTAGCATTTGGGTTCAGGTTTAGCAAGAAACATCTGTCTTAATTGTAGCGTCAAAAGACCACATGTATACACTTTTGCACATGCACACACACATACACACACACACACACACGCAATTTCCTTTTCGAATGAAACGCTTGGTCTCGTACACTGTTGACATAGTGGAGTTCTGGAAAGTTAATCTGCCACCCAACTTATTAACTTCTTTAAATCACACGTCCAAGTAGAAACACCGCACAGCAGTCTATTCGTTCTTAAATCCTTTCTACAGTTTATGAAACATCACATGATTTTGACAAGCACAGTGTGACTGTTCCACAATATTAACTTTAATTTATACAGAAGTCAAGCTACGTCAACTCAGGAACTTTATAAAGTGTGTTTCCACTAAGAACTTTCCAGGAACTAAAAAGTTTCTATCCTGGAAAAGATGTACACAATGGTGTGGGCAAATCATAAATTCATTGGCAAGTGAAAGCTCTAATGTGCTGCCCAGTCCCGTGTTTCGGTTGCCTGGCAACCTAACTGACTAGGATAAAAAGTAATTTCCCTTCGTAATTTCCCTTCACTGGAATTAAGAGGCCCAAACATGTTCCAGCTTGACAGTGTCCCTGTGCACAAAGCGAGCTCCATGAAGACATAGTTTGCCAAGGCTGGTGTGGAAGAACTTAAGTCACCTGCACAGAGCCCTGACCTCAACTCCACTGAACACTTTTGGGATGAACAGGAACGCTGACTGAGCCTCAGGCCTTCTCACCAGACATCAGTGTCTGACCTCACTAATGCTCTTGTGGCTGAATGGGCAAATCCACACAGCCACGCTCCAAAATCTAGTGGAAAGCCTTAGCAGAAGAGTGGTGGTTATTATAACAGCAAAGGGGGACTAAATCTGGAATGGGATATTCAAAAAACACATATGGGTGTGATGGTCAGGTGTCCACAAACTTTTGGCCATATAGTGTATACTTAGGGAGACCAATAACATATTTTTTATGCACTAGATTCATTCAGGTCAGACCCGACAATGGATAATCATTAATGCCGGAGCTCACCGCGATTGCCAAGAAACTAAATTTGGCTCTGGGTTACCTGGTGAGCTCCTGAAAACGTTTCTGTAGTGATACAGATTTACAAATTACAGCTCTACAGCTGAGCCAGGGAAATAAACATGTAGCAAAAAAGCTTAACATGTTCCAGAGAATTCCTCAGCAAACCAGTGCACTGGCAGTGTGTATAAGCTCTCTCCCTCTCTCTCACATACACATACACACACACAAACAAACAAATATGCATGCAAAGGCAAAAAGTATGCTATTCTTCTGGATAGATTATTCTGAAGGATAAAACAAGAAGACAACTATGAGAACAACAAAATTAAAACCACATCCTCAATTCAAACTAAAGCACTCAGTGAAAAATAGAGATGGCCTTATTCAACCCCAACCCCCCCCCCCCCCCCCCCCCCCCCCCCCCCCCCCTCCCCCCCCGCCTCTCTCTCAGTCTTACTGAACTTGCTTTTGTCTCATCTCTGTTGTTTTACGTCCACAACACTGGTATGATTACATTGCCAGAAACATTCATAAGCAGCCCAAACAGACAGAAGGATGGAGAGAGGATGAAAAAAAAGGGTTAAAAAGCAGAAAGGTCAAGGACGTGTCCCTACTCACCAGGGTACTGGTTGTTGTCCAGATCTGAGTCCCCACGCAGCGTAAAGCCAAAGCCTGCTGGGATACCAGTCGTAGCCCAGGATCCTTTGAGCACCTGTGAGGGCTTCAGCCTCAAGCCAGACCTCTCACCGTTATAGATAAACACACAACCGCCGCGGTCCTCGCCTGCAAATGGAGCTCCCACTGCCACATCTGAGACAAAGAGGGATGATACAATAGGACAAATTAAGAGAGGACACAAAATTTATTATGCAGCAAATTGATTTACTATTTCAGGGTTTGAAATGCAAACTTCTAATAGATTTCTCCACAAAGCTTAATATTTTAGAATTTTTAAAGTCCTATGATAGACAGTGATTTGATAATGAAGCTCCAATGAGGTTCGATCCTGGTTTGGGAACATATCCTAGGAACACTGGGCGGGATGTGGGTTGCCAGTCCATCGCAGGCCACCATACACACACACACACACACACACACACATACACACACAAACACAGACTCACAAACACACATACACATTCACAACTAAGAGGCAATTTAACATAGCTAATCCACCTACTGGCATATATTTGGGAGGTGGGAGAAAACCGGCGAACCCAAAAGAAACTTGTATGACTATGTGGAAAGCATGGGAAACACCATAAACCGAGCTCAGGATAGAAACCGGGGACCCTGGAGCTGTGAGGAGGCAACGCTACCCACTGCAAAACAGGGTCAATATCCCCCCAAAGCGCATAAATAACATTATATACGATAAATCTCAATTTTTTTGCCTGTTGTGTCTGTTATTTCTCACTGAGATGGTTTAAACTGGCAAGATTTCAAGCATGGCTTTCATCAGTAAAAGAGATTAAATGTCTACTCAGATCTGCATAAAGCTCTATAGGGACAGCCTGCGCTTCCCCCTGCTTCCTTGTGAGACTATTACCACACACACACACACACACACAAACAAACACACACAGGAACACACAAATCTGCTACTGCATGTGACCCATATCTCTAAGGTACAGTTACCTCTTTTGAGTGCTCCACTCGCACCACTGTAAAAACCATTAACCTACATTCAGCTAAATCACACACACACACACACACACACACACACACACACACACACACACACACACACATTTGACAGGCGGTTCACTTATACACAAAAATAACCCTTTTTATAAAGTGTACATTTAAATCATTATAATTTTAATATAAATAATTCTTTTTAATAAAATAATGTTTTTTTAAATTAGGCACAGTCATGAACACAGGATTAACAGGATCAGAAAGACAAAAGAAGAAAGGATTCAAAATTATACTATAGATCAGAAAGGAGATACAGACAGAGGGAGAAACACAGGATCAAAATGGATAAATGTATATTAGCAGCCCTAAAAGGAAAACTCCATTAAGGTGCTGTATTTTTGTTGCTCGTGTGAGAAGTCAGTGGTTGAGTGCTGCGCTGATGTCACAGGGAGACATTGTTATAGCTAGTGCAGTTACAATGCCATTTAATAAGAGGAAACTTTTTAAATGATCTCAGTCATACATGATAACAATCAGGTTCTTTTTGTTAGCTCCTAAAAACAAAAGAGCAAGAGCTTTTCTCACCAACTTCCAGTGACATTTAATGTTGTATTAATAAGAAATCCAGCACAGATGGACTCAATGTTTCAGAATGCAATCCAGTTAGTTGCTCTGAGCTATGGCAGAGACTCGACTTGAGAGAGCGCTGAGAGAGCTGGAAAGACTAAAGGACTAAAGTACTGCTGCATCACAGTCTTTAGGTAGAGATGAAGCGAGAGCTAAATCCTACTAGGCTGGTAGTCAGATGGCATTGTGGGTAATATAGGAAACTTTAACCAAAGTGAAAATAGACCAACATGTCGTAAAATATGTTTAAGTAAAAAAAATTAATCAACCGAGAAATACAAAATAAATCTTGGATGCCCCTGAAGAACTGAAAGATTAATTCACAAGTCTTTCAGGTGGATTTTCTTTGGAAGTAACTTTAGCCTTGAGGATACACGTTAATGATAAGTGCTTGTACCTTCAGAGAGTGGAGGGTCAGAAA